AACTAGCAGAAAGAATCAACAACTGGGATCTCATCTTATTAAAAAGCTTCTGCACTGCAAGAGAAACCACCAAAAGAACTAAGAGACAACCTACAATGTGGGAAAATTTTTTTACCAGCTGTTCCTCAGACAAAGGTCTTCTATCTAGAATATATAAAGAACTTGAAAAAATCAGACCCCCAAATATAAAGACCCGATTCAAAAATGGGCATCTGAAATAAACAGACATTTCTCAGACAAACAAGTAAAAGCAGCAAATAAATATATGAAAAAATGTTCAACATCACTGGTTATTCAAGATATGCAAATGAAAACAACACTGAGATTCCACCTCACTCCAGAAAGAATGGCTGCTATCAGGAAATCAACCAATAACAAATGTTGGCAGGGCTGTGGGGAGAAAGGAACTCTTCTCCATGTGGGTGGGAGTGTAGACTGGTGCAACCACTGTGGAAATCAGTATGGAGATACCTCAAAAAAGTAGGATTAGAGGTTCCATTTGACCCAGCTATCCCTCTCCTGGGTATATTCCCCCAAAAATTAAAATAATCACACCACAGCAATATATGTGCACCCATGTTTATAGCAGCACAGTTTGTAATAGCTAAAAGTTGAAAACAGCCCAAATGCCCATCAACTGGAGACTGGATAAAGAAGATGTGATTTTTCTATAAAGTGGAGTACTACTTAGCCATAAAGAATGAGAAATTAGAGACATTTATAGCAAAATGGATGCACATTGAGGCCATACTCTTAAGTGAAATAAGTAAGACACACATGTGTAAATACTGAATAATTTTTCTGGTGTGAAAATCTAAAAGTGTAAATAAGGCTCAAATGGTATAATTGGTAATGTGAAATAGGAAGAAAAAGTCTAAAAGAGTAGGGGAAGTGGGAAGGGTAGGGGCAAGGAAAGAAGGGAAAAGATAAAATACGAGAAAAGGAAAAAATGGAAACAAAGTCTTTGTAAATAGGAAAGGGTGGAGGGGGTGAAGGGAGGGCAGAGAAATGGGGAAAAAATAAGAACTAAGACATCATGTAAAGGTACAAGATCCCAACGAGGAATGTAACTGCATTTTATACCTAAAATGTACCAATAAACTTAATGAAAAAAAAAGAAAATTGAAATAATACTTCCTGTTCCCTCACTCACTGAGTTGTCAGGCTCCAATGAGATTCTATAGGATATGATACAGTTCTTTGCAAGGTTATGCAATTAGCATAACACTAAGGCGATCTTCATACAGCCAACTGATCCCCCAGATGCTCAGATTTTTTCTAGCAGGCTCTATTTTTTCCTGACATGATGACCTCATTTAAGCATTAGTCATTTGAGAAAATTGTGGGCAGCTGCAGTGTTCCCTCATCCACTGCTCATTATCTAGGTGATTGACAGGAGCTTTTCAGAATCGCCAGGGTTGCATGGCATATTTGGTGACCCTGTCCTGTAAGAAACTTCTTGACATAAATTGTTTTGCTTGCAATTCATTGTCTTCTACTTAAGAGAAAAACAGAATTTCCTAGAGGGCAGAAGTTGATGTTCTTGTGTTTGTATCTTCTGTTGGCAGTGCCTGATGCAGTCAGTCCTAATGTGCTTTTGAGTTGAATCAAATTTATTCTTCCAGCTCCTAACCCACAGCCCAGTTTGGCTCCCATTAGAGAAGTCTGAGATGCTGAGCAAACAATATTAAGCAATAGTTCTTTCCTACAGGAGATCATGAAGAGAATGAAAAGCACATGCTTATGGACAGTGGACAGTTGCCTCCTTTGGGGAACACATCATCCTACACTTGCAAGAGGAGGCCAGCTCCCAGGAGTCAGCTAGAGGACCATAGTTCAGATGTATCTCTTACCTGGAAGATTTACTTTTTCCACAGGCTGCACCTGACTTTGCATTTCTGTGGAGCTTTTTTCTTTGTGTTCTTCAGGTTGAGGTGTAACTTGTTCTGATGTATTCCTAGAGGCTAGAGATTATGGGAGTAACAAAACAACTTCACAAATGCTTTATGTTTTCATTCACTCAGAAGCATCCTCTAGTGCCCATTTGTGCCCAGTAATATCTCCGTGCTGGGGTCACAAAGATAGGCCAGGTATAAGCCCTCCCTTTGGTGTGGCCTACACTGCCCTCTCCATATTCATCTGCTTAACGACAATGTCTACAACATATTTCTGGAAGAAATTAATGATTTTTTCTGGTGGAAAATTCTTTCTTTTTTAAAGACAACATCTTGCTATGTAGTTTTGCCTGGTCTTGAACTCACTATGTAGTCTAGGTTGGCCTCAAACTCACGGCAATCATCCTGCCTCAGCCTCTCCAGTGCTGGATTACAGGCATGCACCACCACACAGAGCTTGGAAAATTCTTTTTGTGCATGTGTGTCTTACTAAAAGGGACTCCTTTCTTGTCATTAGTTCAGTGTCATTGATGGGTATATGGGATAGCAATTAGGAGTGGTCTGATTCTACAACCTAATGATTTCTTCACTCTCCTAAAGCAATTTAAAACCTTAAAGTTAGAGAGGTGTGATCTTAGAGCAATGACAAGAAAGCTTCTCCAAAACAACTACCTGCTGTGAAGAGCTTGGCAGAGAAGTTGCATGTGAGCACCTCAGTGAAGTGAGGGACAGACCTCCAGTTTAGGCTAAGGGAGGCATCTGCTGAATGAGTCAATGTGATGCTTCAACAGGGCAGCTATCTTTGAACTTTATGGTCCATACACAGTATGACTCATTGACCCACACTGTCTCCGGGGTAAAGGAATAAAGATGAAAGAACCCACAACATTTGCCACATTCTAATGCCACAAGGTGGATAAGAGACCTTGCAGGGAAATACAGCTGTGTGAGAGAGCTTTCAGGATTAAAGGAAGAAAAATCAACAGCAAAATCATGATAACAGATCCACTTAGGCTTAGAAATCCTAGAAGAGCTCTTGGAACTGGTAAACACTCATCAGATTTTTGTTTGTTGAATAATTATCTCAGAAACCATTATAATTAATTATCCTGCAGATTGTTTGGACTACCTTTTGTCTATAGGATTCATTGAGCAAAAGCTAGACTCTGACTTGCTAAACTCCTTAGTAGTTACAAAAGGAACTACTTACAAGCGCTTACACATTGACATTTGTTGGCCCAGGAAGAGTTTCCTATACAAAGCAGATAGATTGACCCATTTCGAATCCTGCGGAAACCTTTCTTGCATTCACAGTCTATCAAGGTGCCTTTCTTGTAGGTGTGGGCTTTGAATGTGGCGTAGCTGATGATTGGTGGGTGCTGGTCACAGTCCTCTGCAAAGAGAAAGAAGCACATCAGGAGCTCATTACACTCACACGTTTGATCATGTAATGACTAAATCACATACATATTCCTTCACTCTATTGAAAACATTTACCTATGCCCCACTTTTTCCTAGAAAGAAGCTCAGTCTGCCACTGTTCTTTAGAAACCTTTATATCAGAGATTGTTTAGAAGTTTTCACCCACTTTCTTCTCCAAAGTAAAATATATTTCAAATTGAATGGGTAAAAATTAATGATGTTTTATTCTGAAGATGTCTCATGTTGAGAAAATATAGAAAGAGAGGAAGGTCAAAGAATGTGAGGAAAGGAAGGGATGAAAGCCATGTAAATTTAATTGAGAGACAAAATTATTTGTGCAATATACTTCTTAGGAAATAAGAAACATGAGACTTTCTATAGTTAATGATTTTGAGGGGTTTTTTTGAGAAATAGACATAAAGTGCTTCACTCAATGTCTGGAAAGTAGGAAATGTAAGTTGCTTATTCATTTGCACACCACTGTTTACCAGCTATATTCTCACACCTCAGCCTGAAAAATGGACACTGGTGTCCCAGGGGGAACATCAGAAGCAGTGGTCCAACACCCAACTATTGAGTGGGAAAATGGCTCCAGACTAATAATCAGAAAAATTATTCCATACTTTGCAACAAGTTCTTTTGCTTAAAAAGTTTAGATTATTAGGAAAATGCCACTTGCTGGATAAAGGAAAAGGATGGAGGGATGGCAGCTACTGTACTTATGGCTGTTGGTTAGCCTTTTGCTTATTGTGTTTGTTAATTCTGGGTGTCGACTTGAGTGGACTGATGGGTGCCTAGAGAATTGATGAAGTATACTTCTGGTTGTGTTTGAGAGGGAGTTTCCAGAGAGGTTGGCATATGGTCAGCAAAGAGGGTAGGGAAGACTCACCTTCAATGTGTGTGGCACCATGCAATATGCTGGCAGCTTAGATGGAAAATCTCTCTCCCCCCTCCTAGAGCCTTTGGACATCAGAGTCCAGGTTCTTTTGCCTTTGCACTCTAGGACTTGCTCCAGCTGTCTTGCCAAGGTTCACAGACTTCCAGCCTCAGGCTGGGGCTGTACTATTGGTTTCCCTTGTTCAGGGCCTCCTCCTTTTTGGATTGAGCCATTACTAATGACTCTGTAGTATGCAGATGACCATCAGGGAGTTTTTCAACCTCTGTGATCATGTTAGCCAATTTCCTAATACATTCATAGTTAGATATACATATTCTATTGCTTCTGTGTCTCTGGAGAACGCTGAGTAATCTTCAGATTAATCGCTCAGGTTGGTGAGGCTTCTCTGCCTTTGGACTCTGTTCAGCATGTTGGCATTCTGTACACCACAACACAGTGGCTCAGGATTTTCCTGAGTCCCCTGAGAACTGAAAGTGGGAAGAATTTGAACAGCTTGATCTATCTCTAACCAAGAAATAAAAGCAATTTAAATGGGATCAGGGGGCCAGCAATTATAGAGGAATAGGTAAGATGGACAAGAAATTCAAATAATCATTACAGTAAAACAAGAAAGGAGATATAGTGGGAAGTGGAGAAAGATGCATTTCTAAATTATAGCTTCTAAATTGTAGCTCTATCAGCTTCTAAATTATAGTTTCTAAATTCTAGCTCTATTACTAGCTATATAGCTTTTTGTTTTAATTTTGCTAAGGCTCAGCTCCTTTTACTTTAAAATAAGTTTAATGATAATTATTTTATTGATTGAAAAATTACATGGAACAACATACTAAGGTAACTTTCAGGGGGTCTAGCAAGTAGGAATGGATGTTACTTCTTGCTTCTTTTTTTTTTTTTCCGAGACAGAGTCTCACTACTTATTCCCGGCTGCCCTTGAACTCATTATGTAGTCCTGGCTGGCCTCAAATTTGCATCAGTCCTCCTGCCTCAGGCTCCTGGATGCTAGGATTACAGGCATACACCATCATGCCCATTCTTTCCTTTTTTCACTGTCAAGGAAAAAAAGAATGCTAATTCAGATAGAGACTGGGCTGAAGTTTGCTTTAATCTCAAACTCCTGCAAAAGATCGTATCTCTGTTCTCCCCATATCACTGATGCTGTTTGCTGGCACTTATTACATGTCAATCCCACCAACATTTTAAGTACTAGACAGTAAATCTGCTGCTAAAATAAGATATGGATAAAAATCAGAAAAACTGATGAGGGCTTCTACCTACAGTCATGCTAGAGAAACTGGGACCAAAACTTATCTTTCTGCTGAAAACAACTACAAACCCAGAGCCAGACATGTGCAGCAAGAGTTTTGAGTATTGCATAATAGGCAGTTGAGGGCTGAATTATTTAAGAGAAGGGATATGTGTGAAATCAGTCTGCAATTGCATGGCTTTCTTCCTGGGGCACTTATTCCTATGTAGTACAAGGTGGAGCCCAGGCACTTTGGTGAGACCAAATGAGACTTTGGTGAGACTTGATGTGACTAGGTTCTGTGAGGTGGGGCCCTGGAGAGGAGGACACTGCACAAGGCGCTCCAGAAGTAGGCATGGAGCCCCTCCTCAAGTTCTTTGGAAAGAACTGTCTTAGTTACATTTCTCATTGCTGAGACAAAATACCCAACACCCAAAGTTAAAAGGGGAAAGGTTTATTTAGCTCAGTTTGTAGAGGCTTCAGTCCATAATCAGCTGACTCCAAGGCAGGATGGTACATGGCAGAGGGGCAACAGTTCCTGGCGGACTGAAGATAGCAAAGAAACGAAGGACCTTAGCAGCATCTTTCTGCCCCTTTTATCTTATGCAGACTACCAAGATTAGGGTGGTGCCAAACCAGTCGGTGGACTGATTTAGTAATCATACACTCTTAATCCCAACGTCTCACACTCTAGATTCAGCCACCTCTGAAAAGGCCCTCTGACTGCATGAGGCTCTGTGGGGACATCAAGACACAAACCATAACAAGCTTGTTGCACACGAGCAAGGCAAGACTCAGGGAGACCCAACACTGGTTGCCTGTTGTGGGGGCTGAGAGAAGACCATTTGCCAAATTTTATCTATAAAAATAGGCATTTGACCTGTGGTCATAGTTTTCCAATTCTGTTCTAGAACAAGTGCCTTTCTTGGGATGAATTTCAAAATCAAAAGAGAGACTGGGCATGGTGGCACATTCCTGTAATCCCAGTACTCAGGGAGGGAGGCTGAGCCAGGAGGATTGCAAGTTTAAGTCCAATCATGGCAACTCAGTGACTTAGCGAGAGTCCTTCTGTTAAAATAAAAAATAAATAAGTAAATAAAAAGGGATTGGGATGTACCTCAGTGAGAAGGTCCTGAATATAATTCTCAGTACTACAAAAACAAAACAAAACAACAACAACAAAAACAAAGTAAATACACCCTTACCAAGACAAATCCAGGTCTACCAGATAAGAGGGTACACCATCCTTTACCTGCCTGGCAGAACAGAAAATTCAACACCTGTCGGAGGACAACATTATCCAGACTGTCTAGAGCAGTGATGGCAAACCTTTTAGAGACCAAGTTCCCAGACTGCAACCTAAAATCCACTTATTACCACAAAGTGCCAACACTGTGATTAAACTTGAATACTGTGGTTTTAGTTTAGAAAAAACAACTCATCGCTTCTCGGCCTTTTGGCTAAGATCAAGTGTAGAAAAAACAACTCATACACCTGACTTCCTGTACCAACAAAGAGGGCTCTGTGGGCCATAGGTTCACCACCACTGGTCTAGAGTATCTAAGTCATAACTCTTAACAAGTTTAAACAAAATTCTAGACATGTGAAGAAACAGGAAAATACGACCAACTAGGGAAAAAGAACGACAATAGAAACAAGCCCTAAAATGGTTCAGATTTTGGAATTAGATGAGGAACTTAAAATAGTTATAATAAATATGCTCATCTGTACAGAGCAGGGATCAGGATACCTCGACTTGCAAATTGGTGGGAATTTATTTTTTATAAAGTTTCACTGGACAAAGTCATTTACATTGTTTCTATGGCAGCTTTGCTGCATAATTCACAGTTGAGTATTTGTAACAGGGATACATGGTCAGCTACCCTAAAATATTCACTATCATGTCCTTTAGGAAAAAAAAATCATTAACTGCTAATTTTTAGAAAGGGTTGTGATTAGTGAAACAATAATCTCTCAGCAGATAAATGAAAACTATAGAAAAAAATCAAATGAAAGTTCTAGAATTAAAAGGTACAGCATCTACGGCTGGGGATTTAGCTCAGTGGTTTTGCCGCCTGCTGTGCAAGCACAAGGACCTGAATTCGATCTCCCCATATCAAAAAAAAAAAAAAAAACAAAAAGGTACAGCATCTAAACTGAATTTAACCACAGCCTGAACCCAAATTAATAGAAATTATCTGAAGTAATGAATACAATGAAAATTGGTAAAAAATAATAGAACTTCAGTAGCCCGTGAAACAATATCAAGTAGTTTTACATACATTTAGTTGAAGTTCCAAATGCAGAGGAGAGAGTGAATAACTATAAAAGATATTTGAAGAAGTAATGGCCCCAAATTTCTGAAATTTGATGACAAGCACTGACTCACAGATCCAAGATGTTCACTTACATGCAAAAAGCATATGGATATCCATCACAAACTACTGAAACCAAAGATAATGAGAAAATCTTCAGAGAGAAGATGAAACAATGAGGAATAAGAACTGACCATTCAAAAAGAAACAGTGGAAGCCAGAAAATAATACTACAGCTTATTCAGTGTTAAAAAAAAAATCAACCCTATGCACCTAGAATTCTATCTAGAGGTAATACCTTTAAAAAAAAATAAGAGTGAAACTAGTATATTTTCAGGTAAAAGGAAGCTTAGAGAATTTTTACCTAGCATACCTACATTATTAAAAAGGCAATTTTTCAAGCTACAGGGAAATTGCACTAGCTAGAAATGTAAAGAGCACTAGTAATATATTTAGGTACATGAAAAGACCTTTTATTTGAAACACAACTGTTTCAAACAAAAAATAATGATACT